ATAAAAAGTGGTTTAAACCACCACAGTAGGAGAGTTCTGGGGTGAGAGCACCAGAGGGAGGAGGCGGGTGGGGACATTGCCAGGCTGCGTACTAACATCACACCTTTTTTGGTCATGGCAGATGCTGGGATTCTCCCCACCTACCTGACATGAATCAGCTATCCCTACCCGACATTGGGTCCCTACACCTGCAGATCAGTGGCACGTAGTCCCATCTGGAAGCAATGGTAGGAGCAAGGCCTCTCCACTGCCTTTCTGGAGGATAGTGAAGAGAGAGCATGGTGTTCATTTTTTTAAATGGAGTAGCTCACATTCAGAGACCTAGAGGTCACTGTGTAAATCTCCCACAGTCTGCCACGTTTAGAAGTGCTGGTGGACTATCACCAGCAGCAATGTGACATTTATCATAATTTTAACCCAGGATGCTACGTGTGCCTTGGGTGCTACCATACGCTTAGTGTTGCATGAGTCCTAGAAGAGGACATGCACATTTTGTCCTGCCTTGTCAGTCCTGTGCTACCCCGCAGAACCAGGACAGATGGGGACTGCAGGCAAGGTGGACAGTTCTCATTAGATGTTATTTTGTGCATCAGGAAGCCACATCTTTTAAACACCAGCGATGTGTTGAGGGCCACCACAGCCCACAGTATTTGCCCTCCGAACTGAGCAACGGTCTGTAGTGAATGCAGAAAGGAGAGTCAGAGGAGGACCAGCCCCACAGCTCTCACTGGCTTTTATCACCTGCACTTGTGGATCAGACACAGGAATGTTTTATACAACATGTTCCTCTCTCCAGTCTTTAGAGGTGTTGCAAGGAATCGGTTGCAGGGTTCACTATTAGAAATCCAAGAACTTATTAGTCCAGGGATCTCACCAGTATAACACTGTTAGTACTCCTTAGCACCTTTTCTCTCCTCTGTGTGACATGGCGTTCTCTGAAAAGCCTCCCCAGAGAGAAAGCTGAGCTGTAGCTGATCACAGAGGCAATACTGCACAGAAATCAACCGCTTCCTCCCTCTGCTGCAGCCCTCCATAGGTCACGTTATCATCACCAGGACTGCTGCTGTCAGAAGCCCTTTCTCTCACTTATATCTGAGCTCGAAACAACCCAAAAGAGTTAACTCTGGTCCATGGTTTTTGAAGCTTTCCAGTCAAAACCAGTACAATGTTGAAAGGCTTGTATATGTAAGGTTTTAATTTCACATTGATTTTATTGAAAATGTCTTTCTTTCACTTGACTAAATTTTATCAATAATTCTCCCAATCCAAAATCATGTAGCACCTTGCAAATCTACATTGTGCCATGATACTGAATAATTTCTTAGTGTAGTTTTGTCCCAAAGGATAAGTAAAACTTTCTTCTTGCAATTAATCTGTCATGACTTGGCCCTTAGCTCCTCTTGCTGATCTGATCTCTCTTCTTAAAAAGAGCTTTTTATAACAGCTATTACACTATAATTGGCATTTTGTGTGGTTTTAGACTTTTTTTTTCCTGTATTTATTTTATTTGGACTCCATGAGTTTTGCCATTTTGGCCTTAGTGTGCTCACTGCTGTGACTCATGTATTCCACAGCTACTGCCAGATCTCTGGGACCAGCACTGTAATTATCTCATTAGGGTTTGTCATTGCAGACCTGACTTAATAGCCAGAGCAGTGATTAGAATTGCTGATTGATCCATGCCACACTTTTGGACACTTGCATCTGAGATTAATAAAGGGATTGTGGATATTAAGGGTTTGAAATGTCAGCGTTCTAAATTAAATTAGTATTAATTAGTCATTCCAGGTACACCAGCTGTTATATATAGTAAGCATTTCCAAATTTGATAATCTGGTAATGATCAGATAAAACTGTCATCTCATAAGGTGTCGAAGAAAGCTCCAGCCTTTCCTCTCTGCCCAGCTTGCTGGAGCCTTGCCGATCACAGCAGGGACCAGGTCCCTATCAGATAAAACTCACAGTGCCATTCAGGAGTGCAACTCGGGCACTGCAGCCCCCGATGAACATTCAGTCTGCAGGACCAGGCTAGACCAGACCAAATGCAAGAAGAGCCCGGAAACGTGCAGAGCGGATCCTCAGCACCGCCTCTCTCATTCCACCTGCAGAGGTCAGGCAGTAGCATGTCCCGATGGTGTCAGAGCAGTGTGAAGAAACAGCGCCATGGAAGGGATGTTCTTCGACCAACAGCTTCCTCCATGCTCTGCCTGAAAACCCAGGGCAAGCCAGCAGTCTGCAGGGTGGACCAAGAGGGCCGGCAGGAGGCTGACTAGGACATGAAAGGCAGAGGCAGGTCCTTAAATTGTTTTGGTCCAAAGTGCTGTGCTATGCAGGGGGACCAGCTCTGGTCCACACTAGACCCAGAAGACAGACTTGCAGTGCTCCCTGTGGCCATGGAGAAAGCATGATGAAACGGCATGCTGTGCATAGTCACTGCATCATGGCTTTTTGTGGCAGCTTGTGACAGCTCTGGGGATGAGCCTAGCACACAGGTCTTCTTGTTCTTTAAAAAGTAATGTTTTAGAAGGAAATTTTGTTATCCTGGGAGGGAATGAAAGGAAATTAGTGAAGGCCTTCCAACTCACTAGGTAACTCCAAATTTTTATGATACCATCTATGCATCCAATGATGGCTTCTACCCCCAAAGGCTGTATGATCAACATGGACATCTTATGTTTCTTTAAAACCTGCTTGGTTTAGTTTCATTGGGTCCATAGCTTGACAAACATAGAACAGATTAAGGAAATGTGCTCTTTGTGTTCAGCTATATTTTCATTTCTTAAAAAGAATTTTAAAATTGTGTTTAATTTGTGAGATTTTGTTTCCATTATTGAATGGAGATAGGGTTCTGAGAGTTTAAAAGTTCTGAAAGCTGGTATTGGAGTGAGGATCATTCTCTAGATTGCTCTGTGTCCAACCTTAAGTTGCATGCTGAGAACTCAAAAGCATTCATTCAAAACCCAGTGACAGGGATCTTGCCTGTGTTATGTTCAAAATCTTGGTTTCCATTCTTGTCAACAGTTTTTTTCTAGATCAGAAATTCCCTTTGAGGGAGATCTGAATACTGCACAAATGGAGAGTCATCCTGCAAAACTATGTGTTACACCTAGAGAAGTTCTAGAAGTCATCCCCTCTAGCAGAGACAGTTTTGGGGAAAAACTCAGCAGACTGATTTCTTTCTAGAGCATTTCGTACATGAAAGCTGCACAGTCCAAGATGGGAAACCCAATTCTTACCTTATTAGTGTTGTGTTTTGTTGCCTTCATTCTCAAGGAAGATGAGCCGCCAGGCTGGAGATTAGGCTTTTCTGAGTCATTTACAGGCAAAATGTAATGACTATACCTCTACATTAAACTCTACAGTGTGCCTACAAAAAACACCAGAGTCAGGAGGAAAATAACACAGTTATGCCCAACAGTAGCTGAGGATCAGGTCACACTATGCCAGCTGCCTGCATTCTGCCTCCGAATGTAGCTTTTCACTTCTTTCATCTCCAAAACCAGGGTAATGGTACTTACCTGCTTTTCTAAAGCGTTTTCAGGCTTAGGGCCAAATACATTTTTTTAAGAGTGATTTATTTTTACCTCTGTCACCATAACTCCATTTGCCTGGGCGGGACACCGTGCACTAATAGCTTTGGGGCTGTGGGCAATTACTGCTTTCTGATCCTAGATTGCTACGCAGCCTGTCTTCAGAGATGTAAGGAATCCTCACAACACTTGTCATGTATCAATCTTGCCCAGTATCCAAAATATTTTCTCAGCTTGAAAAAACTCTTAGGGATCTCCCACTGAGGCTCAAAGGCAGTCATATATTTTATTTATTTTATTACAAGGCATGTAAGTAAAAACTTGCATATCTGAAAAAAGATACTAGATAGAAAACAGTAATAAAATTAACAATTATTTTAAGAAATTTGGTAATAAATACATTTCCCCTCAACATTAAAATGCTTGTTATCTTGCACAACAATAAATACAGTATAGCTCTGGCACAGAGAAAGGCCAAGGCTGGATACAAGGAGTCCATGTTTTTTTAAAATAGCTCAGGTGATTTGTAAAGGTTTGGCATCCTGCACTTGATGCACTTTGATACGATTTGCACTTTAATTTGAATTTTACTGTGATGTTTAAACAGCCGTGTAATCTAAAAATATGAGAGGAAAACTTTTTTAGTTATAGGATTTTTAAATATTTTAAAATATTTTTGAAGTAAGAGGTGTGTAAACTCATTAAAACCAATCTTTGGAAAAAAACCCAAAAGTGTCCTGGTGGCTATTCTACAAAAATGTATTTTTCTCAGCTGTGGGTGCTCAAGCCTGACCAGTCAACTGGCAAAGCACCAAACCCCGGTCAGTTCATCAATTCTTTATACAGTTTTTAAAAAGAAATAATAACAAGGAAAAAGAGTAGATTGTAGTATTTACTTCCCAAGTCATGACAGCTTGAGGTTCTTACACTATTATCTGAAGGTGAGAGGAGAAACAACAGGTACTTTCCAGAGAGCTTCCCAGCATAACTTTGGGTCATTCTGGTCTACGTTTTTCTTGTAAAACTACCAACAAAAATAGAAAGAGAGCTATTTCCATGCATTGTGCTGTTCCTATGCCAGCACTTATCATCACAATGATAACTGTGAACCTAAGTCACTTTGATAGCCCAATCTAATATAGATTGATTGATTGTCCCACGACATAGTTAGATAATGTCCACAAAATGCCACAAGCTCTGGCAGAGTCCAGTGTTCTTAAAGAACCGACAGGTCATGGCAAGACTTGGACTTCAGTTTGAAGGCCATGTTCTTGTTGTTCTTGGCAACGATTTTGCCCCAGAACCGCCTGGCTTTCTTGGGGATGCTCTCCCTCCGTTTCTGGAAGGCCAGGCGCTTCTCGTTCTTCTCCTTGCTGTCCCTGCGGAGCCGGACCTGCCGCACGATGCCTTCGAAGAGCTCTTTCACGTTGTGCTGCACGGCCGCCGAGGTCTCGATGAACTTGCAGTCAAACACCACGGCGCAGGCTCGGCCCTCTGCAAGGTTGCAAGGGGGATACGGCGTGAGCAGAGGGCAGCAAAGAGGTCACGGGCTGCCACCTGCGGGAAGCCAGCGCCACCGGGGGAATTCCTCAAGCCTAATATAGGCACGGATAAGTCTTTAATCACCCGATGCTCCCTGCTAAGCCCATGATTCATCTGCTCTGTGTCATAGTCCCTTCCCAGCAAGGGGGGGTGAATCCTCTCTTGGAAAAGCCCAGTCCTCGCTGTCAGCCCTGGAGGGAGCTGGGGCTGACTGACTTGTGCCAAGACACTGAGGGCTGAGAGGTCAGCTGTCACTCAAAACCACCTGGTCATCTTACTTTCAGACTCCCTCGAATCGCATTAAAGGGTGATGACAGCACCTTCCATGCACACAGCACAGCACAGGAGGCACAGCCCAGTCCTCCTCCATGGGCTCTGGATGTAAACCGGGGTCTTGGGACAGTAGCAGCTTTGGTCTGAATGGACACGTGTACATAACCCTTAAGTAAAGGCAAAACTATGCCTATGGCTTTAGAGGTATATCTGAAATAATAGTTATTATCCTTAGTTACATGAGCCTAAGCTAAACATGACACATCACACAAGCCAATCTATTGTCTTCTGGCGTGCTGTGAATTCATCACCAGGGTGACTAAAGTGTCATGGTTACACCTGTTGCCTTTCAAAAAATTTTTCAAGTGGGGCAGAGAGGAATGAGAAGGAAAATAGGCGTCCCCACGCCCCTGATGAGCTACCTCAGTTCAAACTCTTCACTTGGGGCAACTGTGACAAGGGCCAGGGGAACTGTGCACATCTCCAGTGAAATAAAAACACCAAAAGTCTAGCTCAACTGGGAGACAGAAGAGCAGAACAGCTACAGAGAGAAGAAAATGTTAGGCAGAGAAACCCATGTTCCTGGTGGGCCAAGATGAAATCATTTCATGCATTGCTGTGTGTTATATTGTGCCACCTAAGGCTCAGGGAAGTCTCCAAGTAGGGATTTTACTGACTGCAGACCTTGAGAGTTGGCAGTAGCTTTCCCAGCAACCTCTCCACTCCTATTTATGGGCTTAGTAGTTACTCCTTTGTCTGCAGCCGAGGGAAGATTGTTTCATCCTCCCAAGGAAAGACTGCAAGGAGATCTTTCCTGAATGACTGCACAGTCCCTGCCCAGACCAGCAAAACAATGGGTGACAGGGAAGTTTAATTCATCAGGGAGGACAGAGAACTGGTTATAAAAAAGATATAATCTTTGACAGCAGAATAAAGGAGGCTAAACTTGTTATATATAAACCTATTGGAAATCCAAAGGGTTTCCACCCACCAGGGACATCACCTACTGCAGTGGTCTTACACTAGGAGCTGGAAGGGAAGAAATTCAAGCTGCTTTTATGATGGTCCCTAATAAATTCAGGAAAGGGATTATCCAACATGTAACAGCATAACCAAAGGAGGCTTAAGAACCTTGCAGACCCCTCCCAGTCCTCTATCCTCTTTTCCAGTCCTCTGTTTTACTGCTCTTTTATTGCCCAGTCCTGATGACAGCATATTCCCCCAGCCAGGCCTCTGCGTTTCGTTCAAAAGCTACTAGATGATTCTTCACAACCACATTGTTCTTATCCTCATCATTTACCTACCTGCCACCGAAACTTCGCGGCACCTGACAAGGTCGCTTTTGTTGCCAACCAGGATAATGGGGATGTCTTCTTTCTGGCGCGCCCTGCGGAGCTGTATTCTGAGCTCCGAGGCCTTCTCGAAGCTCGCCCGGTCCGTGATGGAGTAGACAATCAAGTAGGCGTCTCCCACCTGCATGCAGTGGTCTCGAATCCACTCTCCCTCGCGCTGTTCCAACGAAATGGTCAGACACGGTTATGCCCGGAACAGATTTTACTTAGGGAGTATGACATCCTGCTGTAACTGTAATGGGTGCAGTGTGAATCACAGTTACACTACAAGGAATTCCAACGTGGTGATGGTATGAGCGCTTCACCACAAAGGAGGGCAAAGCCTGCCACAAATAACTCATTGTGCTGGCTTTAGACTGGAATGAACACGGTTTGGAAAACGGCTTCAATGTTTTGTTTTATCCTTAAGAAAATAAAGAAGGCTTGTGCTTCTCAGGCTCACATTGCAGAGCCATTAGGCATGCTTGGCTTTGTGCGGGAGTGGGGTTAATCCTATATTTTCCTTGATGCTGAAGTATGGAAAACATCTACTTTTTTTCTCCCAAAAGATATCTATTTTTTATATTAACAGTCACTCATATACACTTTTCTTTGGGTTTTTGACTAGAACAAGTAAAAGTACCTTATTATCCCACATGTCAAGCAGTATAATGGTTGCACTTTCCCCATCCACCATCAGGGTTCTTTCATACGTGTCTTCTGGAAAGGAAAGCAGAAATGTCAGTAATACATTATTTTGTGGCGTTGTGTACATTACAAAAACCAAGTAGCTGAATATGTACAATTAGTTCACAGTTCAAATTACTGAGCCAGATTTTATGCTGGTTCACATTCAGTTCTTTCCTTATTTCTATCACCAGTGAACCTGCCCTCTGTTCATTACTGGTTGTCTGTCTTTCCATGATATATGAAGGAGGCTGAAAGATCAGGAAATGAAATGTTCATTATTTTGGCTGATATTCTCTTTATCTTATGTGGGAGAGAAAAAATAGAACCAGTGGAAGAAATAACCAAAGGCTGAACATTTGCCCCATGGGAGCAGCTGGGTCCAGTGAGGCTGAGTAATGGAAAATATTTGCTTTCGCTTTAGCAGGGACAGTTTACGGGTGAACAGTCACTGCTGCTGAGAGCAATACAGTTAACAGCCTACCAAGCAATGAGGACAGGGCTTTGTGAGACACGAGCTGTTGAATTTTAGAGAGTGAGACTCTGCTGCATCCTAGTTCGCTCCCATTTCATGGTTTCCAACATTACCTTTGATATCAAAAAAGCAAAAGCATTAAGAAACCACAGAAGTTCAGGTATTTTGTACTGAGGCCACAAAAATTCATACCTAGATTATAAATACTGTATGACAAAGTTCTGCTTAGATTTGGGGCAACTGTTCCCACTCATAATTTCAATCAATCCTCACTGTGAAATCTCAGTCTAACTTCTGAGTTAAATACTAATCTTCCTTCTTTTTGCCAAACTGGGGACATATGGATGAGTGATTTAGACCCATCCCTAGGGCTTCTGAGCATACCACCCCTCTCACTGCAGTGTTTAAGGGGCCTATTCCAGCCACACTTGTAGATAGGACTGTGTCTTAACTCTTGCCTCACAGAACTTCTGCTAGGCATTAATGGCATGAACTTTCCCCTAAAGTGTTATCAGAGCCTTTCCTCAAAGCCAGGAGACTACATCCTTGTGAAAGAATGAGCCCAAAATATAACATATTTAAAATAAAATAAAAAAGAGTCCTGTCTTGACACATCTTAAAATGGTGACATTAAAAAGACAGAGCTAATCTACGAGAGAGGTTTCCCTTGCAGGCCAAATAGCGTGACATTTGTCTTTTTGAGTTAGCTTAATCTCACAGTCAGTAGCAAAGCCTGTCCACAAAAGCAGCTGTATTCCCTCTGTGAGCTGGCTACCCTGAAGCCATCCTCTCTTGTAATAAAATTTCCAGTTTGCAGGCTAAAGTTTGGAGAATAGTTTCTTCAACTGACCAAGCATCTGCATGGGAACAAGCTCCATATACACCAGAGGATAACATCCAGAGGACCCCTTCTCCACTCCATTACATATGGAGAGGTTACAAATATGTAATGACACTCCTTGAAAATATTATGCCCAAATATTCATATTCAGCATTGCCTTGCACCTTTGTCAAGACTATGGAACTTCCACGGGATATAAAACACACTGAAAGTAAGCAAGGAGCTAATCTCATGTTTATTTCAAAGCTGACACGAAAAAAGGAGAGATATAACAGCAAGTTTTCCAATACCTCAGCAGAGCCGGCCTTGAAAATCTGTCACTGCTACACTCTAAGCAATATTGCTGGGAGTATGAAGGTAAGAGAAAACCATACAGCTTCACATTGAGGGGATGAAAACTGTCTGACAGGGCTGTGCAAAGCAAATCAGCTGCTTTTTCTGACTGCTTGACCAAAGGTCCTGCTCCAGCTTGCTCATGTAGCACTAGGAAAACTTTAGCAGACAAACTATAGGTTGAGGAGCTGGTGGGATTATGGGGAAAGTTGGTGGTAGAAGTTGAAGACAAAGCACACCTGAATAACTAACTCAGAGTGACTGCACCATGGGGAACTTCATATTCCCCAAAGCCACAAAGATCTGTGCCACCAGTCCTGTGACAGCAAGCAAGGAAAATGTGAGTCCAACCTTCCTGGTAGTGGGCTGTATTAAATCCTGAGCAAAACCTCTCCTAACTGGAGAGTTTAAGATATGAAAAGCTGTCCTGCCTATGCTCCACTGAAGGCTGGAAGAGAAGCCCAGAAACTCTGTTCTAGCACTGGCATCATAGCACCAAGGGAGTCCAGGCAGGAGAGGGAAGGGACATGAGAGAGACAATGAAAGTCCTGCACACTGGCAAGAGAAACCAGCCAGCAACCTGCATGTCCTCCAAAGGTGACAACATCTACATCCTTAGAGCCACAGCATGTTTCTGTTGCAGTACAATCCTTTCACATTAACACCTTGCACACAATATAGCTCAGGCCTTAGTGCCACTGCTTCACCTTCTGCATGATCTGATCTTTGGAATTAAAGAACACTTTGCACTCCTAAACAAAGCAGAAGGGGGAAGCACCAAAGAAAACCCTGAAGCTTGTGCCTTTTCCCTCTCTCTGGGCAATAGGAATTTTCCTACACTGCTAAAGGACCTTTATCTGGTTTTCCCTTAGAGGAATCCATGCTGTGCAAGTAACATGAAACGAGGAGGAGACATTTTTACTCAAACACAATACAGACTATGCTGAGGCAATGTGTTTATACAGAAAGGCTGAGGTGACTTCTAATGGCAAATATTTCGAAGGTGACAGAAGGACGCACCATTTGCTTTTCCATTTTTCTTTATATATTCTTTCTAGGCATTTCATTCTTGCAGACAATGAGGATCATTATTTATTTTCGCCCCGCTACAGAAAGCTGGAATCAGCCTCATGGAACCAGTGGTGACACAAATGTTGGACCAGCATGAAAGCTGAACCAGCCTCTTGTGTAGCATCATCACAGGCAGGAATGAGGCAGCTTCCAACAGGTATTTGGAAACGAATAGCATGGGAATGTGAAACTGTTCTCTTTCAGAGGCTTTCAATCGTTGTTGGCAAGTAATTTACTCATCTTATTTTGTTTTCTTTTTTTCTTAAGGGATGCACGAGTTGCGTCAGTTTTGATGATCAGGTCCAAATATTTGTTGCTTCAATTTTGATTAAATGGCCTCTTTGTTTTTCTGTGCCAATTGCTACCGGCAGAGCTGATTGCGAGCAAACACAAACACCCCATGGGGCACAACCACCTACCTCCCAGCAGCTCGCAGTCGCTGTCAATGCTGTCGTGCACCCCTGCGAAGATGTTGGCCAGCGAGGACTTGCCCACACTGTGCTCCCCGATCAGCACCACCCGGTAGCAGCTGCTGCCAGACTCCGAGGAGATGACCGAGTCGGACGACTCCGAGGACCAGCTCCTTCTGTAATACTCGTCAGGACTGATGGTGTAGCGCTTCTGCGGGTTGTACTCGTTGGAGTCTTTTTGGACCAGCAGGTTCTTCCCATCAGCAGGGATGCTCCAGCGCTGCTGCTGCTGCTGCTGCAGGCTGCTGTTGTGGGTGCGGCGCATGGTAACGTTGTTGAGGGTCATTTTCTATCCCTAGTGAGAAATACGGAAACCACAAACGTGACCCACAAAACATTTAGAAATGCATTAACAGTTTCTTACTAACCTCCAGGCAGCACATCCTGCTCTTCTATAGGGATCTAGCGTACAACAAAAGAAAAATGAGACTTTCTGCACTCTTTCATAGTCGCTGGTACACAAGGAAATATGTCTAGTTAGTGAGTCAGAGGCTTTTTCTTGGGGATGGTACCGCTCTCACACGCTAAATCCTACCTTTGTTCAGCCTTTACAAGCTCATGGCTGTGCTAGATGCATCCCAGCCCTGGAGAAAGTGAGGCACTGCTGTGTCCCAGGAGGAGAAGGACGGTGCAGAATTCATCACAGCTGTCTTATACAGGAGCTACACACTCCTGCTCCCCATCTGTTGTGCTTAACTGGTGGCAAGGAGAGGCACCAGTCTCAGTTGCCTCCAACTCTCAAAGCAGCTGGGTTTACTGTGTATTGAGCTGAAACTTTTGACAAAGCAATAAGGCATCACTCGCTGCACCCTTAGGCAGCCCTGATATGAGAAATGAGCCATGGAAGCAAGTCTTGCTATGATGGGGTGGATTTGGCTCTTGTCTATGCCTGGGTAAGCAAAGAATGATTCTGTTTCACATATAGCAGCTTTCTGGCTGGTATGAGGGAAGGCACGGTCAAGTCCAACAGCTTTTCTGAGGAGTTACAGGTTCAAGCTACAGGAGGCAGCACGGGGAGAAAAAGTTCATAAACTTACAGGTATTAAATCAACAACTTCATTTACTGCACAATCAGCTAGATAGGTTTTCTCTTCTTATCTAAGCATGGCTCAGTTACGCTTTACTCAGTAAACTCTATTTTGCCTTGCCTGGAGACAGAGGACAGTGATGTCATTCTCACAAGCCAACAGCTACCATTTTTAGGAAAGTTACTTTGATGCATTCCAGTTCCCAAAGTGACATTTATTTAGACATTTTGCTTTTTGCCATAGATCCGACATTTCTCAGGTCTCATCTCCACATTAGTAAAGAGTATAATTGTCCATAAAATGCACCTGACCCCTTTCAAACCTGAATAATAGGTGGTGAACAACAAAAAAAAAAAAAAAAAAAAAAAAAGTACAGCAAAGTATCAAAACATGTACAAATCACTATTCCTCTTCACACAAAAGTGTTTGAAAACTTCTGTGAATAAATGCACAGTAGGACATAGGACAAATATATAGAAAAAGCACACTCTATCTGAACTTCTTACCACATACACAATATTTTCTCTGTGATGCACAGCACTTAGGGGCAAAATGAGATCATTTGCACTGTCCTAGTCAGAGTAACTTTGTCAGCAAGAAATACATCTCAACTACAAATCACGCACCAGGCAAAGGCTGCTTCACAAACAAAATGAAATATTTACTGTGGTTGAATTTCAAAATGCATTTTTTCCTTGCAGTTTCTCCACTGAAAAGACTAGGAGAGAAAAGTGAGCTCTGATTCAGTCAGACAAGAGAGCCTAACAGAGAACCTGCAATAAACAGTCACTCACTAAACCATCACAAACACGAACATTTTACAATTTCACCCCTAACAAATTATCATCCTTCATTAAACATAGCCAAATGAGTCCCTGTCACACACTGCATTCCAAGTTCAAACTGGTGTTGATAGCCCATACCGCATCTAGCTGTCTGGGTCTCCAGCACCGACAGTAAAAGAGAGAGTCTGAACCAACTCTTACTTCTGCCAGGCTCCTCCAGGCAGCTGAGTCCTTTGCTGGCACTGCCCTTGCTGTGCTCTGCTCAGCTGCTCCGCTGGAGTAAATCCTCTCCTGCTTTGGGGCTGCCTCTTTAATTCTTTCTCTGCAAACCTGGTTTATATTAAGCCCATCTGATCAGAGACAGGGCTTTTCCGTGACGTGGTTGGCCTTTCCATACAACAGCCAGCCCCCAGCTGGGAGGAAACAGACATGCAGAAGAGCAAAAACTTGCAAACAATCTCAAAAGACTTACTCAAAATCATATGATTGTCTTAATATTGCCAGTAAAACAAACACATTTGGTTCTTGCAAGATGAAAACAGGAAAGTGGAAAAACCCAAAATAACACGTGCATTTCACCTCACTCAGTTTTTCATTCAAATGTTATTAAAATTAATGATGTTTAAAAAATGACATAAGTTCCATTAACGCATAAAATGCTGTAAGTGTATTATGTTCTGTGCAAAATACACTTAATTCTGCTGGACAAAAGTTTTCTTTGGAATAAAACATCTGAATGTTATTTTGTACTTATCTTAAAAGTACAAATATTATTCTGTTTGTTTTGTTTTCTTTTGTTTTATTTTAGAAAGCTCTAATATATATATACAATCCTATTTTTCTCTCTGGGCCTCAAAGTGACTGCACCCAGGTTCCTGAACTGCATAATCGGCTCTCACTTCTGCTGCAACTCTTTACCAGCGAGGGCTTGAAAAAACAGTGGTGGAGGGTGGCAAAGATGCATCAGAACACAAAAAGTGTGCACAAAGTCAGAGCAGCACAGTGCTGATGCTGTCCACAGGAAAGATGAATATATAATGTACATGCTACAAAACAAAGGTTTTTATAAGTTTTTGCATTTTAATAATCTTATGGCAGAAGGAAAAAAAATCCAAACTTGTGATGTGTGCCACCAAGTGACACTTCTAGCAACAGATGCAAAATACTTCTTGATTAACAAATGAAGAGTAATAAACTCTCACTTAACTACTCAGAGGGGCACCACAACTTACACAAAAATATATGGAAACTCTGTAGTCAGCTCTCAGTTATCCAGACTCTGAATTAATTATGATGAGCTCAAAACCAAGCTCCTACTGCTTTCCTTTATATTTACAATCTCTTAGTTACTCTATCTGCCCCTGAATCTAATAGATGACTAATTCCTGTCCCGCACATAGGAAGTCTGAACAGCTTTGTTTCTGAACAGGGGAAAGAACATTTTTTTCATGAGCCCATTCTTCCCACCCTTCTTGCTACAGGCGAACAAGTCTTTAACTGACAACGTACCTTTATTAAAGGGAGCAGTGACATGCATAAAATAACATCTCGTGCTGTGTTTGCATCATAGCACTTATTTCACATTTCCTCAGCTGTAAAATTGATTGTTTTTCCCCTGAAAAAGCAGACTTTTACAAAATTCTTCAATTGAAATCTGCTTGCTTTGTTTTTCCTTTGGCTATATTGCATTCCTTTGTCTTTCAAGTAGATTTTCAGGGGCCTCCTGAGCCCTCTCTCAAGTTTGAAGAGCCAGGAGCTTTTCCCAAAATAATATGTGTTCATCAGTGTACATGGGAATTATTCAGATCTACCAAGAGGACCAAAAGTATATCCTGATTTTCCTTCATCTGTTTTTCAGTGCTTGGCAACAGCTGAAGTAGCCCCAAGTCCTCCATCTCCACCTTACCTGTCTCTTACACATTAGGCTCTGAGTCTCTGCTGCTGTGTGATAATCCCAAAGAGCACAAAGTACCACATCTCTCTGCACAGGATGTGCAGAGTGCCTTTTAAAATTTACTGCACAAAATGCAGCAACATCTCTGCTGGGAAAGGTTTATGGCATGGCCAGTGGTTTGCAAAAAAAGTTTTTATTGTCAGCATAATCAGTTGAAGTTGCTGATTTTTTTTTGAAACATGCTGAAAATCATGAAGGTGAATGGTGGCTGAAGTACTGTGCCACCTCAGGTTCACTCAACTCTCTTTATGTTGTCTTTAATTTGTCACTGCAAGTGAAAGAGAAAAACCTATCCACTGTAGGACTGGAGAGATTTATGGCCAGATTGATCTCAGCAGCACTGTAGGCTCTAACACCTCACCCCAATGTTTAACATCTATCACAGTAGGAAGTGCAGACAGTAGAAATAAACCAAAGTCAGAAATCCATGGTGTTTAGCTATGGATAGTGTTAGATTAGGAACTGCTTGACACCATCTTCCACTTCCTCTTCAGAAAATTCAAGGCAGACAAAGAAAACGCATGCTTTCCAGTGAGCACACAATACATCTCTTCGATAAAGCCATCCGTAAGGGTTGGCCCAGCTGTGGCACCAAGCACTTGCATTTGGGAAACTTGGAAAACTTCCTTTGTATTACCTCTTCTGAGCCTATTCAGGTTTTCCAACTGGACAACTAACACTTCGGGTCCCATTCTGTACTACTGGCCATCTTCACATGATGAGGAGCTCTCGTTCCTCAAGGAATGCCATCAGAACTCATGAATTTCAATGTTAATACCTGTGGGGAAAACTTTTCCTTACTTTTTTTTAAAAGTGTGGAGAAGTGCAGAATTTTCAGCCTACTGGAAGTTACTTGCAAGGAATAACAGCAGGTTGATTAATCAAATGTACAAAAGGAGCCCATCTCAACAGGACCAACTATAGGTTTGGATTTCCAAATACAGTCCCATAGATGGATGGAGGCTGATGAAATGGTGGACTGCTGAGCCCTCTTGCACTCTGCACTGGTGAACACTTCTGCAACTTAGGCTGCCTGAGACACAGGCACGAGAAGAGACAAACCATAAGGCCAGCTGCTGTCATAAAGACCCGAGTGCTTGGATACGACTGCCTGGTGCAATATTAAAACTCAGAGCGATTGCTTTTCACCCATCTTATCCATTCTCTGCCTCAATAATCACGTCTTAAAGGAATGCTCCTTGCAGCCAGGATGAAGTAAATATCGCAGAGCAACAGCTCTGAAATCCTTCTCCAACCAGTTACAATTAGAGCAGGTGATGCCCAGAGCAATTAAGAAGAAATTTTCCATTGGATAAAGAACAGCAGTGCTTTTTAGCTGACAATTATCCATTTTTGTATTTATGTACATGAAGGGAAAAGCAGTTCCACAAATCACCTTCTGGCATAAGGGTTGTGTACAGAGAGGACCTGAATCAACTTGGAAGAGAAGGGAAATGCAAGGGGAAAAAAATTTTTAAAAAAGGCAGGAAGAACAAAATGCAGATTTATTTTAATAGAA